AGAAACCCAGGGGCAGTTCTACCTTGTCCAGTAGGGTAGCCATGACCCAGAACCCACTCAAAGGCAGCGAGTTGTGTAGGTGGTTGTACATCTGGACTGTTTTGTTGAATCATCCTTCCTCAGCACAAATCACATCTGCTTAATATAGCACACTTTTTAAGTGGGAAATTATAATTCATGCCCTATAAGTAGAAGAGTTAAATGGTTTTCATTTTCGTTTTGCCATTACTTCCACTGGTAGGTCCTAGTATACAATTTTTTGTTCTGGGTCTTTGATACCTGATCCCATTGACACCTCATGATCACACAGGCTGCTGTGCTTCCTCCATGTGGACTTTGTGTTTTGTCAGTTAGATAGATGCTTATTTATCTTCAAGCCTTTAAGACCCCAGACACTATATCTTTTGATAGCTGGGCACCATCAGCGTTCTTCACATTTATGTATTACTTTTTAAAAATATCAGGTCAAGAAAAGAAAATCACTGCTATTCCAAAAGTCTCTTTTTTTCCCAAGGATCAGCCACTATTCTGACTTCTAATCTTGAAGGTTGGATTTTGAATTGCACATAAACCCAGTAGCACATAAGCACACACATAGAAACATATGTACTTTCACAAAAACACATGTATGTATACACACACACATTTATGCTTTCAGAATTTCCTGGAGTCTTGTGGTCAGTGGGTGGGTGTCCAATTTTATTTCTGGCTTTCCAAGAGGATCCATTTAAGTTGATTGATATCCAACTGATGGATATTGATTGTATAAGGAGCATATGCATTCATTTTTCTCACGTTTCGACTTCTAAGTCCTTTGGGTCATACACACCAATACACAATGCTATTTTCTAATATCAACATTGTATTGTAGGTCCAGTGGCATTGCAGAGCGCGGATGGTTGCAGGGGCCAATTTTTACATCGTTGGACGAGACCCTGCTGGCATGCCTCATCCAGAAACAGGGAAGGATCTCTATGAACCAACACACGGTGCCAAAGTGCTGACCATGGCCCCTGGGCTGATCACCTTGGAAATAGTACCCTTCCGAGTGGCGGCTTACAACAAGAAGAAGAAGCGGATGGACTACTATGATTCAGAGCAGTAAGTTTTAGGTTGTACACACAGATGTAGGGAAACACCTTAAAGGCATTAAATTATTTGTTCCTCAAAACCACTCTGAGGTAGAACCAAACCCACTGCCTCCGGGTTGATCCCCACTTACAGTGACCCCATGGGACAGCGTAGAACTGCCCAGAGGGGTTTCGGAGACTATGTGTTCTGTACGGGAGCAGACTGCCATTTCTTTTGTGTTCGTCTGGGTAGACCAGAGAAGCAAATCCATGGACACACATATGCGTATAAGAAAGAGATATATGTACAAGAGCAATTGAACATTGAGGAAACATCCCAGCCCAGCCCAGATCAAGTTCATAAGTCCAATATTAGCCCATATGTCCGATAAAGTCCTCTTCAGCCTGAGAAGCACATGCAATGACGCCAAATGTAGATCACAGGCCAGTGGGTAGAAAGTCTTTGGATCCAGTGTCATGGAAAACATTTCAGCATTGGCATTTCCCTGAGAATTCTGGAAGGCCATGCCCATATAGAGGCCTCATTGGCTATGATCTGATTGACAAGCTAGACTCCACCCCTACACTCTTAATCCTGAAATTGAGAAACGATTATATATCTACCACATCTTTGTTCCTTGGCTGATGGATTTTCACAACTGGCCTTGTGGTTAGCAGCCTACCACTTAACCCTCTGTGTCACCAGGGGTCCTTCTATGAGGCAGGTGCTGGTCTAATTTCTATTTCATTGACAAGTAACCTGAAGCATGCAAAATTCACCTAAGATGTGCGATTGCATAAGCTCCCAGAGCCAGAAAATGGCAGCCCAGGGGTTTGGCTTCACATTTCCAGAGGCTAATTGTTTGCGTCATGCTCTCTGCCCTCTTGGTTTCTTCCTTGTCAGTAGCCCTTGTTGGAGACCCTTGCTTCTTGTGACTTCTCACATGGCATCTATCTCCCCCTGCTTGTACCTGCCTCTGTATCTGATTTGTTCTTTTTATAACTCAGAAGTTAAGTTTTGGACCAGCCCCATCCCAATCTGATTTAATTAACACTACAGAGATAACTTCGTTCCCAAGCAGAATTACACCCACAGGTGTAGGAGTGAGATTCTAATACATATTTTGGGAAACCAGGCTCACTGCCATCGAGTTGATGCTGACTCATAGGGACCCTCTAGGACAGGGTAGAACTGCCCCTGTGAGTTCCTGAGACTAACTGTTAATGGGAGTAGAAAGCCTCATCTTTCTCCCAAGGAGCAGTTAGTATGGTCCAGAGCAATCCATAGCAGAATGCAGCTTCTTTCTTCAAAGATCCTGGTACATATTATTGGTAGTATTGAGCTCACATCTTTCTTTGACTTGATGAAATTTTATTAACTGTATATGTAAACAGAAAATCATTGTCACTGAGTCAATTCTGACTGATAGCCACCTTCTATTGGGTCCCCCAGGTGTAAATCTTTATGGGCGCAGATAACCTCCTCTCCGGATAGGTTTACACCTCTGACTTTGTGGTTAGCAGCCCATCCCTAACGCAGAGGTTATACACACTCTAAAGTGGCAGTATGAGGCTGGACAATCAGAAGGCTTGGGCTCCGGGCCCATGTTTGATTGTAACCTTGAGAGGCATGTGCCTTCTCAAAGCTGTCTCTCTTCATCTCTAAAATTATGACAGGGGTTAGAGTGATTCCTTTCTCACTTGAAATCTGTAGTTCTTTCTGTAGTGTGTACCCTGTTGTTATTCTTAAAGCTTATTCCTATACAGGAGCTTTGATGGCATAGCAATTATGCATTGGGCTGCAAACCACAAGGTCAGCAATTCAAAACCACGAACCACTCCTCAGGAGAAAGACGAGACTTTTACTCCCATCAATAATTTCAGACTCAGAAACCCAGGGGCAGTTCTACCTTGTCCAGTAGGGTAGCCATGACCCAGAACCCACTCAAAGGCAGCGAGTTGTGTAGGTGGTTGTACATCTGGGCTGTTTTGTTGAATCATCCTTCCTCAGCACAAATCACATCTGCTTAATCTAGCACACTTTTTAAGTGGGAAATTATAATTCATGCCCTATAAGTAGAAGAGTTAAATGGTTTTCATTTTCGTTTTGCCATTGTTACTTCCACTGGTAGGTCCTAGTTGACAATTGATCATGACTGGAGAACCTCTGCTCCAAGAGCCCTTGTCCTTTCACCGGGGACTTATGGTTAGGACTTGTACTGGGATGCTGCTGACACCGGGTCCGTGGGTGCTGGCCCATTACCATTTTGTAATGCTGGGAAAGAGACAGAGTAATTTGAAAAATCACAACCGTGTTCTCTTGGTCATTTAACTTCTTTAAGGTAAAGTGGTAATTTATGTGGATGAAGAAATGCCACTATGCACCGTGGGGCTTGGGGACCATGTGGACACACACATAATCTGGAGGGAAATGCACACTTGGAAGATAGTAGCGGCTCTCTTGAGTGATGAGCCATCTAGCTAACACATCGGATCGCTGTGTGAGATGGGTGAGCAGAAGATGCAGAAGTCATTGTCACGGGCAAGTGTAAAAGGACGTCTAACTCTTCTCTCTGACTTAGGCGTGGAGCTATTTATTGTAGACTACTACTTTCTGAAGATCTGAAACGTGGCCCAGATTCCAATAGGCTTATGAACCACATCAGGAGGAGAATTGCCCACAAAGCAGAACATTTTGCCGGTATACAAAATCGGATTCTGACAACACCTAGAAGTAGTTCTAAATTGTTTTTTTATTTTCTTTTGCCTTAAAAAAACAAAAACAACTATCACAGTTTCATTGTCTAAAAAAGGGCAGCTATAAAGGGTGGTATGCTAATGAGTTGTAAATGGATCCCCCACCCCCCATTTCTAGGGACTTTTTCTGTCCCTTTCATCCAAAGGGATGCCTTTGAACTTTAGGAAAAAGAACTTTAAGGCAAGCTGAAGCAGTTATTTATAGTAAACTTTGAAATATATTACCAGGAAAGGTGATTGGAACTAAAAATATGGATACATTATTAAGGAAAGTAAAAAAAAGTACTGGCTACAATTTTGACCCTTTGTAGTTCAAATTATATAATTCTCCCACCAGGGATTTTATTTAGCTCAGTCTGTGTGGGAGGTAATTCTTTAAAACGCCCCTTGCTTAGAAGGAGTGTAGCCCTGCCTTCCTCTACACGTATGAGGAGGCGGGGTGCTGGGCCAGGCCACCCTCTGCCTCTTATCTGGTTGGTGTGTGCTTTGTGTGCTGGGATTGCACACCGCATGTTAGGAATAACGTCCTGCCCCTGCTGGTGTTAGCACACCGTCTAGTTGAACTCAACTGCTGCCTGCAGTCATTTGGCTCCATAGGGTTTCCAAAGCTGCGGCCTTTTGGAGAGTGAGCACTGGGCCCATCTTCCAAGGTGCCTCTTCATGGGCTTGAACCATCAACTTTTGGACTAGTAGCCCATGGCTTAACGGTTTGTGCCATTCCTGGACTCTCGATGATTGCATACGTGAGTCACGTGCAGGGGTGCAAGCGTGAGCAAGGGGAGAGAATCAGAATCCCTCTGCTGGTGGCCGGGTACTCGGGTCTTAGGTGTGCTTCCGTCTGGGTGAGTTAGGAAAGCAAGCCACCACCAAGAGGGATTGGGGCTTGCTTGAGCACTTCCCCCAATGCTGGTGTGTTTCAGCACTGGTCTCTGTGCACGATCAGCTGGTTTAATGACACGCAGGACCCAGAGCCCATCTGCATGTAGTTGACTAAAGTGCTGGTAAGCCCTTGATAACTTTCATGTTGTGTGAAATCCGGGTAGTATTGCGTTAAGTCCCTCTTTTAATCATTCAAAAGCTAAATAATTACATCAGTTCTTATAAGATTTTCCAGAGATGAATTCTGTATTAGTTGCAAGAGTGGCTCATTTTCTTGGAATTTTTTTGAGTTACCAAATCTTAACAAGTTGTAACTTGCGAAGCTTTAAAGCTGCTTTAGTGTTCTAACTCTTTATATTTATGTTCAAGTATAATTAGGTCGAAGGGCATGTGTTGGAAAGTGATTACATTTTGTGGCAAGGTGATCGTCTTTGATGTAGTGAGAAAATGCAGTTATTAATTATGCACATACGAGGTTGTCTTCTTTGTGATTAATGGGTGCTGTTCGATGCCAGCTTTTAGGCCATTCATGATGTTGTAGCTTTTGATTCAATTAAGGAATGCTTGGTGGCACAGCTGTTAACGCACGTGACCTAAAGGTCAGTGGTTCGAACCCACCAGCCGATCTGTGGGAGAGCACTGTGGCAGTCTGCATCCTTCGAGCTTTACAGCCTTAGAGCCCGGAGGGGGCAGTGGTGCTGTGTCTGACGTGGTTGCTCTGAGTGGGAATCGGCTCTGACAGTGACAGCTACTGGGGAGTGCTGATTTCTCGGAGTGCTTCTTGTTCTCGATCCAATTGTGTCCTCTCCAAAGTCTGTGTTGTAAACCCCAGCCTCAGTGCCCCTGGCAAGTGGGTTCTGTGTTGGGCTGCTAAACAGAAGGTCAGCAGCTCAAACCCACGAGCTGCTCCCAGGGAGAAGGATGAGGCCTTTAGCTCCTGAAGACACCCAGCCTCAGAAACCCAGTTGAGTTTGGTTATTTGGTGATGTCTGAGTTTGTAGCCCCATTTGGTAATGAGTTTTATGATAATCAGGCAGGACTAGGACGGGGTGCGCCCTGAGTTAGTCTCTCCCAAGAGCAGAAAGAGCCCCTTGAGCAAGCAGAGGCAGGGGGAGAAGATCGCTACCTGGCCCATGAAGGTCTCCTCAGCAGACCTCCCCCAGGGCCGCGGCAAAGGCAGAGCCGGCACGCTGAGCTTAGAGTCCCTGCTCGCTGAGCGGGTAGAAAAGGAACTGTGTTAGCTAAAGCTGTCTACTGTGGTATTGCTGTGCCAGCAGCGCTTGACAACTAGACACTATTGTTAGACAAGCTTGAAGGGGGCATGGGGGGGAGAAACCTTTATAAAGATTCCAGACAAGATATTATCGACAGTAATTGTGATCAGCCATCTGTCTG